TGTCAGCTCCGAGGCTGGGCCTCCCCTGGTGACCCGTGTAGCCAGTCCCTTCCCTGAAGGAAGGAGGGAGTGTCCAGCGGGCTTCTCCTCCCAGGCGTCCCTGACTGTCACCCAGGAGAGGTCCATGCGTCACACGTCCATGCCCACCCCAGTGTCCCCAGGGCCTCCCGGATGTGAAGGGTATCCTCACCCCCACCCTTCCTTAGGAACACCTGGAGGGAAGGCCATACGTAGCCTGGGCTCCTTCCTTCTGGGGCTGTGCCGGTTCTTACCCTGGTACCATGAGACCTGGTCAAACCACGGCCTTAGGCCTCCTGTGTCCCCAATACGGACACACACAGATGGAAAGGCCTGGATTGGAGCGGGGCCTCTGCCACTCACAGCTGTGTGGCCCTGGACAGGCCACTTCTCCCCCAGAGCTGTCTCCTTGCCTGTAGAGCCAGCACACCGGCACCCCTGTGGGGCTGTTCTGAGGACTGAATGGCTCCTCGGCCACTGCTTGGTGAGCACAGTGCCTGGCGTGTGGAAAGCACTCAACACGCGGCAGCCACTGTAATACTTTTTCAATGACTTATCGGGCTGTCCCTGCATTTCCCCAGATGAGAACACACGACGTGGTTTCTATCGTGGTAACTTCCATCAGAGCCTCTAGTAAATGAATCTGCCCCCGTGGCTGGGACCTTCACGTTCTCTGACACCCCAACACCCCCTCCCACCCCCAGAACAGCCTCCTGTCTCTGCATCCTGCACCAGAGGACCTGAGAGTCTAAAATCAAACAAGAGGAGCACGCGTGAAGCCCCCAGAGAGAGTTCGATACTTACCAGCAGGTCCCCTGATAGGATAAGTCATGGCTCTGAGACTCAATGTCTCCATCTGCAAAATGGGCAGTGGTGACATGCTCCCAGTCTCTGCACCGTGCAGGCTCAGAATTGCTGCCCCTCCTCACCACCCCCAGGCCCTGCCCTGCCCCTCTGCAGAGAGGAGGTAGCCAGGGTTCCTTGCTTCTCTGGCTACCACTCTGTGACTCTACTCTCCCCACAGGTGCCGCTGCAGGCTCCTCCGTTGGCAGTAAGTACACACCTGGGGCCCCACCCTGGGGACGCTGACTGGGGCCCTCAATGCACAAGCCTCTTTGCATGTCCTGGAAGGAGCAGGAGAGAAAAGGAGGGGCTTTCCTGTCCCCGCTGGACCCTCGGGCCCACCCACTCCCCCTCTAACTGCACCCATGTGCATCCCACCTCTTGCTGCCCCTCCCCGTGTCTCCCGCTGGCACCCGCAGCCCCTCCCGCCCCCTGTCAGTTTCTCCCCCCTTTCAGTTTCGTGGTTACTGCTGCTTTGGAAAGGTCCCCTTGACCCCCGGGTGAATCCTAGCCCCACCCTCCCGCTAGGCAAGAGTGGGGATCACCTTCTTACCCCTGCCCCAGCCTGACTGCAGGGTTCCGCCTCCCTCCCGGCAGCCTGCAGCTGTCACCTCTGGGGAGGCTGGGGGAGGTAAGCCCAGATCATGGTGCCCAGGTCAACACAGGCCCCAGAGCAGTCAGATCATCTGAAGGAGGTCAGGGGGTGCTGAGAACTCAATGAGAAAGGTGAGGAAGTGTGGGCGTGGGTGCCCGGCAGACTATCATGAGGTCATCAACACCCCCGTGGCTCACACACTCAGAGTCAGGCACCAGCTGAGCGGGACGCTCCTAGTATCTCATTTAACCCTTGCACCCAGTTGGGTTTTGCCATCTGCTCTGAGAGTCGGCAGGGGAGGACTTGCCAGTGTCACTAGCTAGCTGGTGGCAGATTCCAAATCTCAGAAACACTTTTGGGGGGCACTACCTCCCTCTTCCAGGGCTCTTTGGGGCCATACCCCACCCGAGCTGTACCCTGCTGGGACACCAGTGGGCGGAGAGGGTGCCAGAGGAACCCAAATCTGGAGGGGACTCAGGTCTACTCGGTGGGGTCCTAAGTGGCCTGTCTGCGCTGCCCCACACTCACCAACTCCCCCACACTCTCTTGCTTGTCTCATCCCTCATTAGGCATCAGCAGGTCCCAGAAAGACCCTGTCCCCAAAGCCCCCCTGGCTACTGTGGCCACGAGGGGGGACCCCACCACTCCTGCCCCTCTACATCCACTGCTTGGGCCCCCATGGCCTCCAGCACCCCACAGCCCACAGGTGGGTGCCCAGGTACAGCCCCAGCTGCCCCGCCCTTTCCCACTTCGTGCCAAGTCCCTGTGATGTGCAATGCTGTGGGGGCATCAGCCCTGGGGAAGGCGGGGGCTTGGCTCTTAAAGCAGAGAACGCTAGAGCCCTATAGCCACAGAGTGTGGGGCCAAGGGGCCTCCACGTCACTGGAGCCCCAGTCAGGGGACCCAGGGTTCCCTTCTCCAGCCCCACCACCCACAGGGCGCTGCTTGGGAGGGCACCGAACCCAGCATGGCCAAAAAGATAGGGTGAGCTAGGAGGAGGGGGCCCCCTGGCAGCGAGGCCACACAGAGTTCACCCAAAGACAGGGCCTGTTTCCCAGTGGGGCTCCCGCTTTGCCCCCAGCTCCTTGGCAGCCCACCCCTGGGAATGGACACTGGAGCTTAGCCAGAAAGGCCAGGACAGAAGGGAGCCTCTGAGCCAGGTTTTCAGAACGTGGACTGCTGGGCATTTGGGGCTGAGTGTGTGGGCTGGCCCAGGCCAGGAGCCCGCCTCCCGTCCCGTGTCAACCACAGCGGCCAGTCCTTGGGGTCTGTAGCTACAGACAGGTGTGGAGAAACGTGCTATCTGCATCTTATTCCCCTCCAAAGGCGGGGCTACTGTGTCCTGGAGGCTTGGGGTGCTGGGGTGCCCCTCTAGACTCTGCCCACTGCAAGTGCCAGGTGTCTTAAAGGACCTGTCCTTCCCAGAGGGTGCCAGGAAGTTGTGGCCAGGGGACTTCTTCCTGGTCCCAGCCGGGGCCCAGCGGGTGGCATGCCACAAACTCTTTTCCCTTCTGCCTTCCTCCTCCACAGGAGGCGTTTGCAGGAGGCAGGGGCTAGCCAGGAGATTCAGGGATTTCAGGGGAGCCTCTTGACCCAGGATTCCTCTTTGGGGTGGAGAATGGGGGGGTCACTCTGGGAATTCAGATATAAGTTGGCCCAGCTGCCTGAGATTCGTGCTTTTTTTGCTGAGCCTGTGATGGGCAGATGGGATCCAGAATAGTCACGGTGGGTGCTGTGTCTCCCTCACATGGTGGTCTGTCTGGAGGGGAGGCCAGAGGCTCTATCTCATACACACACACACACACACACACACACACACACACGCATGCACACACACACAGACACACACACGCGCGCGCGCGCGCGCGCACACACACACACACACACTCTGAGGAACCTTGACTCCATTTTCTGAGCTGCTTCTGATCTGGAACAAAAGGTGCAGGGCAAACTGCAAAGCTGAGAAGTCAGGAGACAGAGGCTGGGGCAGAGCCAAGATGAGGTAAGGCTGGAATTGTGAGAGCCGAGAGGGTCCCCAGGACCCAAATGCTGAGAAGGAGGCAAGCCTCCATCCAGGCTGGACTGTTCAGTGAGGTCGTGGTCAGCTTTGCATCCTGAGCCCAGAGCCGGGCAGCGGGCATTAGGGAAAAGGTGGTTCCAGGGTGACAGTCAGTGACCTGAGGTGCCCACGTCTAGGGGTCATCATCGCTCCTCTTTAGCCCATGCTTGGAGCCCCCATTATACCTGAACCCCCACTAATAATGACCATCACTGCAGTTGGTGGAGCTGGGCTCACAGCTCTGTGACATGAGGACTGCTGTTTTCCTAATCCCACAGGTGAGGGTGTCAAGGCTTAGGGAGAAGCAGCTGGGATTTATGACACGTAAATTACACTTCAGTAAAGTAAGAAACGGAAGAGGCTGCTGCTCAGGGTCACGGGATGGTCCGAGCAGGCCCGGAACTCGAGGGTTGCTTCCTACAGGTGCTACCTGCCCACTGAGCTGCCCAGTGCTACCGTCCTGCAGCCTCGGGGGGGCTGTGAGGTGCTGCCGTCTTTAAGACCTGGCTTGCACAGTTCCCCGATTCCAAAGGAACAGACGGGGCCTCCATCTGGTCTTGGCACAGGCCGCAGGCCGCTGCGAGAACGTTCTTCCCGCACACCTGAGCGTGTCCCTGCAGAGCCCAGCGGGAGCGTTCCCTGCCTGCCGACCCCAGGCCCCAGAAAGGTTCTGAGTCTTTCCAGGTGCTCCCCACAGGTGCTCAGGCCCCTTGGCCAGAACCTTGCTGGGCCTATGAACCCCTGGCCCAGATGTTTCTCCCTCCTGCCAATGTCAAGCTGTCTGAAGGGCAGGGGCTGCTGGGTGGAAAAAGCTGCTCACGACCACTAATCCCGTCCCCTGCAGAGGGCGGTGGGAGAGAGGCTCAAAGCCAAAAGCCTTCGGGTGGGTTTTAGTGCGGCTCTAATTAAGCCCTTGCCAATTTGGGCCTGCCAGCCTCTTCTCCTCATGGAACACCATAGTCATGTCAATTTGACGTCCAAAGGTTCCCAGCCGGAAAGTCTCCCACACGTTTTTAGCCGGTAGATTTTCTTTCCCCACCAACCAGCACCGTGCGTAATCTCTTTAGAAGCAGAAGAATCGCTTCCCCTGTCCCTCTGGGTTTGTCCTTTGAAATTCGGTGCAGAGCGGTGCCCTATCTTTGCCAGCCTGCTGCCTCCCCAGCTGTGTGTTCAGTTGGTTTTGTAGACTGTGTGGTGGCATTTGGAGGTGGACTCGCATTGGGGTCCCTGGTGGAAATGGGCCTCTCGGGGAGGTGAGGAAGGTGGGGGCCAGGGAGGCAGGCCAGGTGTTGGAGGACACCCCATCCCTGCATGGGTTTGGACAGGAAGCCTTCGAGGACCCTTCCGGACACGTTTGATGTCTTGGCTGGAACACACTCCCCCTTTACAGCCGTTAGCCAGAGACTTTAGCACAGAGAGACCTGGGCGCAGACATGGGACTCGATTCAGTGGGAGTGGGGACAACACGGGGTGGGTAGAAGAGTTCCAAAACCAGGTGTCCTGCTGAAGAAAGAGCTGCCCAAAGTATGCAGGTTCTCAGGCATGGGGGCCCCTCTCCCATCGGGCTTCAAGTCCACATGTGCACTCCACAGGCTGCAGCAGTGTAGACGCTGCCTCTCCGGTAGGTTTGGACCCAGTTCCATTTGGCCAGTGTAGACAGAGCCCCTTCCTATAGTGCTGTTTCTGATAAGGGGCCGTGGAGTGTGATGCCTCAGTGTGTCCCAGCCCCAGCCCCTTGCAGGACTTGGTTTCTTCTCTTCTTTCCCCCAAGAGTGGACCAGGCCATCTACAGCTGCCCCCCTCGGGGAGAGCCCCTCCTGGCCCCAGGTGTCCTCCAGTGCACAAGGTATGGGGGTGGGGGAGCTCCTTAGACCTGCAGACCCCTCCCTTGTAGTGGAGACAGCAAGTGTACCTGGTGGGATTCGGAGGTGGGAGCTGAGGGGAGGGGACTTGGAGCGCTACCTGCCTCACCCCCACCTCTCACCTACTTAGGGCCAGTGTGACGTCACCAAACCCAACCCTTTTTAATCCCACAGTCCCCTCAAGGGGTTCGGAGCCAGTGGACTCTGGCTAGACAGCAGTGCTCTGGCTTCTGCCACTGGGTTCACAAGGCACACGGGGCAGTGACGGAGCTGAGACTGGGAGGGCTTCCTGCAAGAGGGCAACCGTGGTAGATGAAGAGAGAAGGAAGTGCGTTCCAGGGGGCAGAACCAGCGGGGAAAGGGCTTGGCAATGGATGGCAGTGAGCAGCCGAACTGACAGAGGAAAGGTGTGTTGTTTAAAGGAGGGCTGGAAGGTGATGGAAGGCACTGATACTCAGCCGAGAGCCTCGTTGTCCGACCGCAGTGGGCTCGTTGGTAGCCATAGGCAGACCGCTCGGGAGGCGCACACGGGACCTGCGCAAGTCTCCAAGAAGGGAACTGTCCCCATCCCAGCTCACTTGTTCCCTGGACCTTAGGCCCTAATGCCGCGTTTAGGCAGCAACCCCACCCCGCCCCACACCTCAATCCCCTTCCAGCACCAGCTCTGGGCAGCGAGAAGGGCTTTGAGCGCCCTCTGCTGGCAGGAGGTTCCAGAGCCGGAACCACAATGGGTGAGGAAGGGTCTGCAGTTCCCAGCCACCAGGAGGCCCCTGAGCCTGGCACCCTCCCCAGTGATGGGGACAGAGCAGGCTGAAGCATCACTTCCTTGCCCTGGCCTAGCTGGGGCGTCACAGACTCCCAGAGGGAAGCGAGGGGACGATGCCCTTAGCACCCGGGCAGACTCACCCGCAAATGTGGGGCGGGTTCTGGACCCTGGAAGGCAGGTGCTGTCTGAGCTCATGGCTCTACAATGCCTGCCGGTGGGGAGCCGGTAGACGGTAAAGGGCTCACTCTGACTGCAGCAGGGAGATTGTTTAGGAAGGAAGGGAGCTGCCCAAGTCTTGAATGCTTGGTTCAGACCCTGGATTTGGTGCTCACAGGAGTTTGGAGAGGGGGGAGGAGACAAGAGGCGAAACATGTTTTCAGTCAGGCACAGGCTTGTCCGAGCTTTAGCACAGCGCCTAGCGCGGCGGGGGATGCTGCAGCTAGGGGAGCGACCTGGGAGGATCAGTCCAGCTGGATGTGCGGATGGTCTCCTTTCTATTTCTCATGTACTGTAAGCCTACCCTTTGGGGACCAATGGCAGGGCTGGTCCTGCAGGCTCCTGGATGGGCTGTGTCTCCTCAAATCTGAGCAGATGACAGAGCTGCCCCAGAGCTTGCCAGGGCCGCTTGGGAGCCTTTGCTGGGCTTTTCCTGGGCCCAGACAGACCGCCCTGATCGTGGCTGATGGCAGAGTTTGTTTCTCATCTCTTCAAGCTGTGGGCACCTCCACTGCTGCCCATGCCCCCGCCAAGGCCTCCAAACCTTTCCAACTCAGGCCCAAACCTCCTCAAGTGATGCCTATTGAAGAATTCCAAGGTAAGAAGAAGGACTGGGGGCCAAGTGACACCTCTCCCCCAAACTCCACTGGAGAAAACAAGAGCCAGGATGGAGGGCCAATACCAGGCTCAGAAAACCCTCCCAGAGTAGCTGGGTCAAGGTGAAACTGAGCCTGTCTCCCCTCCAGCCCTCCCTTCCCAAGGGACCTGGGAGCCAGTGTGAGTCAGAGGCACAGTGGGTAGCACCAGGCAGGCAGAGCAGCTGCCAGAAATAGCCTGTCCCGGCTCCCCTGGGAGGTGTGGCCCAGGGGCTCGTCTTGGTTGAAGCAAGATCTGGGACACGGGGTCACTGAGAGGACTCCTTGGGACACTTGGAGGACGCTTCGCCTTCTCATTGTCCCTGGACAGACAAAGTGAAGGGAACGGGTGCAGGACACCCATGGTGCGGGAATACCCACTACCTCCTCCCGGGCACATCTCAGAGGCACGTTTCTCTGAGATCTCCATGCCCTTGGTCTGTCATGCCCTTGACCCCTGACACCTGATTGGTCCCTCCTTCTCTGATCACAGAGGTTGGGTCCGATACACAGATGGTGTTTCAGAGACTGGCCGGCAAGGGGTGGCCACATTGGCTTTCTTCTTCAAGGGAGTGTTGAGCCCCTTAGGAGGGACATCAAGAAAGGGCGTCAGGAAAGGTGACCCTCTCACCAAACCCCACCCCCTCCAGTCCCTGGGGCCTTGCCCTAGGCCATCACCAGGCTTGCTCAGCCCCTGGAGCAGATGTAGGGCTGCAGGAGACAGCAGGACGGCGCGGAGATGGCTGTCCTCCAGGTACAGTCAGAAGCCGGGCCAGGAGTAGGGGGAAGCAAAGCGACAAGGCCCTCTGGTGTCAATCAGATTTGCAGAATAGCTCAGGCTGGTAAGAAAGGGTCCCGCAGGTGGCATTTTTCCTTCCAACCATCTTCCAAAGCAGCATGGGAAGGAGGCTCCTGGCCCTTTCCATCCTGTCCAGCTTTCATGCACGTACCGATCTTTCACTGAATGGCTGGGGACACAGTGGGGAACGCCATGAATCTAGGCACTGCCCTCCCTGATCTCACAGTCTGGCAGCATGAACCATCCTCCGTGCATGAATCATTTCTTATCAACCCGGCATCAGGCGGGCATTCCTTCCTAGAGCACCTCACCCTGGCACCCAGTCGGGCCTTAGGCAGGTGCTGCTCACTGGCCCACCCTGGATCCTGGCCATAGGGCCAGGTGGAAATTTGTGAGCTGGGCCTATACTGGTTTTCCGTTGGGCTCAAAGCTGGCAGGCCCGTCTCTTCCCCAGTTGTACAGAAGCGTTGGGAGGCCCAGGGCACCTTCCTGTGCCAGGTCCTACACCTGCGTGTCCTTGGGCGGGTCCTTCCTCTCCCTGTTCCTGTTTTCCTGGATGCATGGGGGAAGGGCAGCAGGCAGGCACAGTCTCCCTTTGCTCGCTGACCCGTTGTGTTTCCCACGCTCGGCCGGCCCAGACTGCGAGTGCTACGGCCACTCCAACCGCTGCAGCTACATCGACTTCCTCAACGTGGTGACCTGCGTCAGCTGCAAGCACAACACGCGAGGCCAGCACTGCCAGCACTGCCGTCTGGGCTTCTACCGCAACGGTTCCGCCGAGCTGGACGACGAGAACGTGTGCATCGGTGAGCTGGGCGCTGGCTGGGCTGGCACGGCCCCCGGGATGCGCTGGGATAGGCTGAAGGGCACATGGACAGTGAAGCGGTGTGAGGTGGGGTCTGAAGAGCCACATGTCGGAATGCCCCAGGGAGGTGGGGAAATTCCCATTCCGGGGCCCACTCCAGCTGGCGTCTCTAAAGACAGAGGCCTCCAGAGTCTGCTCTACCAGTTTCCTCCCCATGCGGTTCTCCCCCTGGGCACTGGAACTTCAGAGCCACTAGTTAGAGTCAAAGACTGGTTCTAGGGCTTGCCTTGCTGTGTGCATTTGGGCAATTCCCTTCTTCTCTCGGAGCCTCATTTCCCCATTTGTAAAATCAGGGGGTGGATCACATCAAAGGTTTTAATCCATTTTTTTTGTGGCTGAAGCCACAAAATTCTTCAAATGATATTCTTCAAATGCTTTATAAGCAGAGCCCAGCTTATAAAGCTGCCCTCTGCCCCAGTGAGCACCTGGAGACAGAGAAGTAATGCTGCTCCAGGGCTGGCTTCGGGGTACAGAAGGCAATCTATAGGGACCCTGGGCCTGGGCAGGGGCAGGCCATCCCAAGAGGCCAAAGCCATGGCCCCCAACCAACACCTACCAGCCTGGAAGGGCTGCCCACGGCCCCTGCCCCTGTCTCCAGTGGAGGCCAGGTCCAGGCCCTGGTGCCCAACCCCCTGAGGACCCCGTTGCCCATTTCCCATCCACCGTGGGCTCTGGCTGCACAGAGGAGAGGCTGCCCACAAAGCTGGAGCTGTCAGTCTGAATTACAGCAGCAGCCTTCAGATAATTCCATCAACTCTAAAGTGATCCAAACAAAATTGCACTGCTGCTATTACACCGGCCAGCTGCAGGGGACAGGGCTGGGCCTCTGGATCCGATTAGAGGCGGCTCTCCTCCCCCAACCTTTGTTTGCCTCCACCCCTAGGCCCAGCACTGGGCTTCTTCAAGGACTCCCAGCTGGGGACATTTGTCCCCTCCCACAGAGCAGAGGCCCAGAAGCCAGCTGGGAGGAGAGGGGGAGCCGGGAGGTCCCTGGGGCTGCGCCTCCACCGCTCTGGAAAGGAACTGTAGGTGCCGGCTTCACGCCCACCCCACCCCCACCCCTGCCCCCCCCCACACACCTACCATAGCCCCTGGGACAGAGGCCCCGTGGCTTCTGATGAGACCGCTCCCACCTGTCAGTCATAGCCCTTTGGAGCTGGGGGGGGCGGGGATCAGCGTCCAATCCAGTCACAGATGGGAGACTGAGGCCCAGGGAGGAGACGGGGCTGGCCCAGGCCACACACAGGGCCAGGAAGGGGGAGGGGTCATGAATGCCCAGGAGCGAGGTAGTCGGTCTTGAGATTTGGACTCCCCAGCAGCTCTCACCGCTGTCCAGCCGCTCACGCGGACACGGTGTGGGGAGCATCACTCGGAGACCCGGCTGGGAGGGATACGGGGCCTGGCGGGGTGGGGTCCCTGCAGACAGCGTCCGCAGTCGCCCTGACCGCACGCCGTGCGCTTGTCCATCTAGAGTGTAACTGCAACCAGATAGGCTCCGTGCACGATCGATGCAACGAGACCGGCTTCTGTGAGTGCCGCGAGGGGGCGGCGGGGCCCAAGTGCGACGACTGCCTTCCCACGCACTACTGGCGGCAGGGCTGCTACCGTGAGTGGGCGGGGCCTGGCGCTGTGGGGGCGGGGTGG